ATGGGTGATTCCAGGGTTGGGACATGGAAAACATAAAACGAGCCTGGAGCATTCTGTGGTACCAGAAAGTAAGGATAAAGCTTTAGAGTGGGGGGCAAGAGGGCAAGTGGTATGTTAAAAGGGCACAGAGGCCAACCTAAAGAAAGTTCTAGTGGCCAAAGCTGGAACAGTTTGAGTAGCAAGTTAAATAAAAACCCATAAAATAACAAATATCCATGAATCCATACTGATACAAATAGCTGAATAAATAAATGGGGAAGAAGAATTCTAATCAGTAAACATAGAAGAAATGAGAAAAAAAAAATGCTTCTCCCTCTGACCCTCTTCCCTCTCGTGCTCTCTATCTCTCATTCTCTCTCTCTCAAATATAAATAAAATCTTAAAAAAAAAAAAAGATCTATTTGGATTTTGAAATTCCCTGTAGCTGCCAAGATCCTAAACTTTACAATTGCTATCAGAACAATATAGTACAGGGGTACCTGGGTGGCTCAGTCGGTTAAGTGCCTGACTCTTGGTTTCAGCTCGGGTTGTGATCTCTCAGTTGTGGGATCGAGCCCCATGTCAGGCTTCACGCTCAGCGCAGAGTCTGCTTCAAATGGTCTCTCTCCTCTCCCTCTGCCCCTCCCCGCTCGTGCTCTCTCTCTCAAATAAATAAATAAAATATTTTAAATAAATAAATAAGAACAATATAGTACAATGTATATCAAGTTCCACCAATGGATGATAAAATTAGTGAATTAAAGTTTATGGAGAAACAGGATATTTGCACAGCCCAAGTTGTTCTTCCAAGCTATCTACTAATTACAAACAGAAAAATAACTTTCCGCTGGGACCAGGCAAACAGCACCTTAATCAAGGTTTACATCAGCAAAAAGACGTCATATGTCCCGGACGTGATGCACTGAGATTCTTTCTGCTATTTTTTCCCAAAATACATAACTTCAATCTAATCATGAGAAAACCTCAAGTACCAATTGAGCAACAGTCTACAAAATAACTGACCAGTACTCTTCACGAGGTCATAGACTGGATCCTGAACAGAAAAAGGACAGTGAAAAGCCAGTGAAATCCAAATAAGTCTATAGCATTGATGACAGTATTATAATATCACACCAAGATGAATCTATTAGTTTTGACAATTTTACTACAATTAATACAAGATGTTATGGGAACTCTCTGAACTCTATTTTTCTGCAACTTTTCAGTTAGCCTAAAAATTACTTCAAAACAGCAAATTAAAATCAATAATGAAAGGACTCCAACATTTTTTCAATATTTATAATGAAAACATAATGTCAGACTTAAAATGCCACCTTTGGGGCACCTGGGTGGCTCAGTCGATTAAGAGTCCGGCTCTTGGTTTCAGCTCAGGTCATGATCTCAGAGTCAGGAGATCGAGACCCGCGTCAGGCTCTACACTCGCAAAGAGTCAGCTTGAGTCTCTCTCTCCCTCTCCCTCTGTTTCTCCCGCTTGTGCTCTCTTGTTCTCTCTCTTTCTCTCTTAAATAAATAAATCTTTAAAAAGAAAATGCCATCTGTGCTCTTGAAAACTTCATCAAGAGCTCTACAAACCCAGTCACCGCTATATGCATTCTGAAAAGCATTGTTTTATAAAGAATAACACAACAATAACATCTTTTCCTTCTTACTCTGGCATATTTATGATTAGCTGAAATTCAAATGATATGAGAGTTGTGAGATCCTCCTAAAAGCCAAGCTTTCCGGGCTAACTCTATTACACTGAGAAGGAAGGAACAGCAGGAAGCTTACCTTTTGTAAACTGTTCTCCAGAAGTGATTTGCCCCTCTTCCTTATGATGAGGGGGCAGAAGGTAAGCTGAGGACAAAGCACAAGCTGACACCCTGCAACCCCCCCACACACACGCACACTCCCAGGCGGGATATTGTGTGACATTCTTCCAGGAGGCTCCCAACTATTTTATGCCTTGCTAGAGGGAAAAACAACCTTAACTTGACAATGGCAAGGCCTCCAGGATCTTGTAGGTCCTCTTTAGCATATGAAAGTTCTTTTGAAAACCTCCCTTTTTCCTTACCTCCCCCAATCCCATAGAACAAAATCAATTGTACCTCACAACCCCAGTGCAGCTCTGTCTGCCCCCAGGGTCCTGTCCCCGTGCTTTCATAAAACCACCATTTTGGACCAAAGACATCTCAGGAATTCTTTCTTGGTCGTCGGCTCCGAACCTCACCCCAGCAAACCTCACCTATATTTCAAAACCATATCACGTATATTGGTGGAAATAGTGAAGGGAGAAAAACATAGCTATTTGCTTTTTGTTGAAAAATTCAAAACACTTCAATTTGCCTCTGGGTTGGGATGGCATTCTCGGAGGTAAGATCAAACACGTCTCCCTGGGGGGTGGGGAGATATGTATCTACCTATGAGTCAGAACATAAGGGGTCGTCTGTAGCTCCAGGGAACAGACTTCCAATTTTATTCTTCCAGATAACTCAAAGAACTTAATACCAGTGAAATGACAACTACCTAATGCTACCTGACCCCAAGTTCTAATTTCCAGCCAGCTCCTGTCTAAAGAGTAATAAGATTTTTTCAGTTGCAAACCCAAAGAGATTGGGCTAGTGACCAGTAAAGTGCAAGAAACCTCATTCAATGGGGTTTCAGACCTTGCCAAGATTTTACTCCACTCCTCTGTCAAAAACAAAACTTCACTGGAATCATGATGAGAACAGCACTTTTGCTTTAGTCATACCCACCCACGTGGGTTTTTAAACAACCAGTACACTACTAACTTTCAATGTTATGATTCTCTGAATGAATATCTATCTCTATGAATAAGCTAATGGTGTGGCTCAAAAATTAGATATCCACTTTCTAACAGTCTCTCTGTGAAGTAGAATACCTGCTTCAAAAAACGGCGGTGGGGCGGTGGCTATCATGAGAAGGGGGAGTAATTGCTAGTAGACTTTGAGGGGAGAGGATGATGAAATGTGATGGTTCTACAAACTGCACTTTAAGTAGGTGAACCGTAGGATATGTGAGCTGTCTCATAAAGCTGTGTTGGGGGTGGGGGGGTAAAATGAAGCCCAACCATCAAGATACTGTTCGTGAACTGGGAACTGATATTTTAAAGGATAAACTTTAGCTTCCTGTAGGTAGAGCCATATATCCTATTCCTATAGAGATGATGGTCATTCAGGTTCTTTAATTTTCACTAAAAAATCTCAACCCTAACCTATTACCCCAGTAGGCAAAGCAGATTAAGCCTTCCCTCTTGATACAACCTTTAACTGCTGCCAAACTTCTATCAAAAACTCCTGACAGAGAAATATAGGGTATTTAAATAACATGAGATCCAACCACCCATCTAAAAAATCTAGATTTATCCCCGAATAAATCCCAAACCATCAAACAGTAGCATGTGTGACCATAGTGTCTCAGCATCCAACAAGGGTTTCTTATAACCCTTAGGATAAGGAAAATTGCCACTACAGCGAACAGTCCTAGAAAATGCACTACTGCACGTACTACATGGATGGGCACATGGGATTTATAGTCTCCTCTGCATCTTTTGTAAATGCCAGGAAAAGCTTTTCTATGGAGCCGGTGTGTTTCCCCTCTTTATCCTCACTGAATTGTGTGACTAATCATCCCTTTTTATTATGGCTTCCAGAATGCAACTTTAATTCGCACAGCATCTGTCCAAGTCCATTTTAATGTGCTTCCCTTTACGCGTGTTTGTATTTTATTTTCCACTTGGAATACTTATGCTCACCTCAAATGTTTCATGGATGCTTAATAAAAATAAATGCAGAAGTAGATTTTAGCTGTAAGGGTATTTTAACAACTTCTTAACACAAAAGAATGTGTTTCCTAAGGGAGTTCTTGCTGAATGCTCAGGGTCTGGAACAAAGATAACTGATAATACATTTGTTTCTATAAACCTATTTTTTTCTAAAAATGGAATGAGCTTTTATATTTCCACTATTAAGCAAAAAAATAAAACTGGGCAACATTACAGTTATATTTGTAACTGTAAAATTACAATCTAATTTTTTTGGTCTTATATTTTTCTGTATTGTTCTAACTTCTTCAGTACTATTTTTTTTTAAAGATTTTATTTATTTGAGAGAGAGAGAGCATGTGTGGGGGGCAGGGGGGGAGAGAGAGAAGCAGGCTTTACGCTGAGCAGGACACTGGCATCATGACCTGAGCCACATGTAGATGCTTAACCGACTGAATCATCCAGGTGCCCTGCTTAAGTCCTATTTTTAATAATAATTGTAATAAGCTGGTTAAACTTTTTTTAAAGATTTTATTTATTTATTTGAGAGAGAGAGAATGAGAGATAGAGAGCAAAGAGGGAAGAGGGTCAGAGGGAGAAGCAGACTCCCCGCTGAGTAGGGAGCCTGATGTGGGACTCCATCCCGGGACTCCAGGATCATGACCTGAGCCGAAGGCAGTCGCTTAACCAACTGAGCCACCCAGGCGCCCAAGCTGGTTAAATTTTTGAAGTCAATCATTTAAAAACCAACTATCTACAAAAAAAAAATTACAAAAGGGAGATCAGTAACTTTTTAGCAAGCCATCCAAAGTTGTGGACAAAAATCTATGTCCTGGAGCTAAGAAAAAAGACCTAAAATATATTGGTTAATCCCTTTAAAAGTACTAATATTAACAAATTTCTCTCCTACCTTGTAGTGACTCCCGTGCTCAGTAAGTTTTTATCCATTTACTATCTATCGACTCTTATTTCATACATTTGGAGAAAGGCAGAAGTTTTACCAACTGGTTCTTAACACATACCACCAGACACAAAATCAGTTTGCACCAGGGCATTGATTTCTGAAAAACCAATCTGAATTCTCAATTTGGATTTTACACTCAAATGAAATTAGGAAGGACCAACTAAAACCTAGTCGTCTCAACTGAATTTTTCTATTTTCTGCCAAACGTCCATGCAATACCCACCAATCTTTCAAGCCACAAAACATCCCACGAGGTTTTCACCATTTACTCACTCAGCTTAACAGAGATTCAGTTCAACCGAGGTCTTCGATCTCAGAGTCCGTGTGCTCAGAGGCAGAGCACTAACAATCGTTTATATAGACGAGGAGCTGAATCAGCCAAACCTTCCCAACACACCCTAAGGAAGCAGCTCCTAACAATGGCATCAAGCATCTGTACTGTGCTTTCTAAATTGTGAAGAGCTTTTCCAAAATCTTCCTGTTTCCTTTCCAGGCTGCTTCCTTCCTGCGACTCCCAATCCCTGCGGGACGGTCCGGGACTCCCTCTTGCCTCCTGCGCGCTGTGGACTCGATCTCTAACGACGCAGGACTCAGGACACAGCCGGCGCGCGCGGCAGACCCCTATCCCCCATCCCGCGGGGCCACCTTCCTAGATCGAAGCGCTTGGCTCCGACACCACCCACGGTGTCCGCGCGCTCCCGGCGGGCCGGCACTCACACGCGCAGCTAGTGACCTGCAAAGGCGCCCGCCCGGGGGCACGGTGACGGTCAGGAGCGGCCGGCCGCGGCCCAGGGCGGCCAGAGCGGCGAGGAGGCGAGTGCAGGCAGCGCCGACGCGGACTTCGCCTCGCTAATCCACCGGCTGCAGGCCCGGAGAGCGTAGGGCTCCCTCGGGGTCCGAGCCCGGAGGCGGACGATAGGAGCAGCGCCGCCTGTCTCGCCGCGATAAAGCACCCTGAGCCGGGGAGGAGCGCGTGGATGGGTTGCGCGGAGACCCGGCGGGGCATTGGATCGACGGCCACCCTCTTGCGGGGCCCAGGTCACGGAGATGACTCTCCCGGAGCGCACATGGACAAACCCAAAACTACCGCGTCCAGGGTTTGTACGAAAGGGACAGCAGTGATTAGCCCTGGTCATCACAGGACGCTACCCGGGCTGATCAATACCTGCTCTAGCCTAGATGGATTTGGTCACTGTCTGTGTCCCGCGCCCCTATACTCCGGGGGACGCTGACACCGAGGGTTGTTTTTTTTTCTGTCACACACGTTGCCCACCCCGAGAACAAGTAGGTCTCTATTGAATGAGCTTCTGAGAAATTAGGTGCTTAAGTCCCAGGACAATAAATTCAGGAACTTAATCTAAGAGGCGGGGGGGGGGGGGGGGGCAGTTGAATGACAATATTGCTATGAACGGTTTAATTGTATTGTGCACACTCTTGTAATAAATACTTCTCCGCAATACTGTTCGTGTAGAAAAGCTGGAAAGTGTGCATATTCAAGAAAAGGTTTGGTTATCAGGCTTTATGAGTGTGTATGGCTTTCCCAAAATTTGCCTGCTGCATCTATTTTCTGGTTTGCCATTTACAAACAAAAATCAAGTTATTTAGGGGCACCTGGGTGGCTCAGTCAATTAAGTGTCTGCCTTCAGCTCAGGTCATGATCTCAGGATCCTGGGATCGGGCCCCACGTCGTTGGGCTCCCTCTCAGCGGGAGCCTGCTTCTCCCTCTCCTCCCCGCTTGTGCTCTCTCTCACTGTCTGTCACCATCTGTCTCTCTCTCTCTCAAATAAATAAAATCTTTTTAAAAAATCAAGTTATTTAAAGCAACACTAGGAATTACTGTTAATTTTTCACCCGTTACAGGAAATCTTTAGTCATGGGGCATCTGGCTGGCTTATTTGGTAGAGTGTGTGACCCTTGACTTCAGGGTTGTGAGTTCAAGCCCTATGTTGGGTGTGGAGCCTACTTTAAAAGGGAGAAGTTTTAGCCAGGAAGCCTAAATAAGAAATTAATTATATCTAACTTTTTAGAATATTAAAAATACCATACTGTATACTTTTTTCTTTTTTTTAATTTAAGTTCAGTTAGCTCAAGGGAGCCGGATGTAGGGCTGGGATCATGATCTGAGCCAAAGGCAGAAGCTTAGCCGACTGAGCCACCTAGGCGCCCCTTAAAGCATTTTAAATTACATATCCATGATGCACCCAAACATTTGGGTGAAATTGGTTTTTTGGATTAATTTTGAGTTCATTTAAAGACACTTAAAGACCCATATACAAATATATTTGTCACTTTAAGCCAAGACTGAGAAAAATTTTTCAGAGATGGCTCTTAATAACTGCAAAATTTAAAAACACCCTCTAAAGAACAAAGCTTTACTAATGTCAGTAAAGACTTTTTAAATTGCCAGCAAATTCTAAAGGCAATTCCAAGAGGGAACTTACAATAATAGGGGAAAAATACACATAAAATCGATAAAAAGCACATTAAAAAAAACCTGGATAATAAGTTGAATATAGTATTCTGCAATAGGTAAAACGTAAACAAACCGAAAACTTATGCATAGAAAATAGCTTGTAATACAAGAAAATGTTATTTTTCTGGTTGTGACATTATGGTTCTTTTTTTTCTTCTATTTTAGTGTAATTTTCTAAATTTTTTTAATGCAGATATACAACTTTTATATTGGAGGAAAAGAATTTTGTTTAAAAGTAAATCAATAAGGGACGCCTGGTTGGCTCAGTCGGTTAAGCGTCTGCCTTTGGCTCAAGTCATGGTCCCGGGGTCCTGGAATGGAGTCTGACGAGGGGCTCCTTGCTCAGCGGGGAGTCTGCTTCTCCCTCTGCCTGCCACTCCCCCTGCTGTGTTCTCTCTCTCTCTCTCTCTCTCTCCTATAAATAAATAAATAAAACCTTTAAAAAAAAGTAAATCAATAAAATATCAGTGTTTTAGTCAGTAAAAGACACATGACAATGCTTAAAGACAGAGCCTCACCTAAAATAGGGCTAAAAATCGCTAAAACAAAAAACTTTCTACCTTGTTTCTAGTCTAATTTTTTAAATAGTTTGATTTTTTCATACTGATAGATCAGTGTATATGCTTGCTAAAGTTACATTAATTCCTAATCTCACTCTAATACTCGCTAAAGCTGATCATTGCTATCAAATTCTGTTTGATAAATTCAGATTAAAGCCAGCCTTTCATGAATGTATTGTATTATTAAGGAATGAGTCATTTTAGCTTATAAATTAGCATTTTACTTAGGGCTAATCATCTTCAAATGCCCTGTCTTCTCTTTTAGTGTTTGGGTGTAGAAGAGAGGGAAGGAGGAACCTAAAGATGACCTTCCTAATTTACAGATGAGTCACCAGTTCCAAAGGAGACCAGTTGCACAAGGTTGAAAGTTAGGGAGATAAATAGGGGGGCTCACAGCTTCTGAGACTGTTGCTCTCTGCCCTCCACCTCATAAGCTCTTTTATATTGCCAGAAAAGAGCAACTGCCCAGTATTTGCAGAGCCCAGTATTAGGATTCCCGCTGAATGTGTTCTCATTCTGGTACTTGTTCTTTCTCCCATTTAACTAAACTTTTTTTCTCTCCCTTGTTGTAATATCAAGCAAGATGAAAATAAAACAATATTGCTATGAACGGTTTAATTGTATTGTGCACACTCTTGTAATAAATACTTCTCCGCAATACTGTTCGTGTAGAAAAGCTGGAAAGTGTG